CAGTCAAAAGGCGTTTAAATTAAATGATTCTTAGCCAAGACCCAAAATATAAACATTTAAATAAATCAATTTTGTGTAAATCCAAACCACTGCAAAGCGTTGTCGTGACGAGCCGATTGATTGAATCGGGCCCATTCAACCACCCGTCTAGGTGAAGTTAGGGGTGCTGTGGACCAAATATACCCCCGGTCCACACGGGTGGTTGAAGAGCTCTTAGCGTTGTGTGTGGGCAAAGGAACACTGTTACTGGAACCAGTGCCCTCAACCACCAGACTCCCTTCCTCCACCGACACAGGGGCGGAACCCACGGCAAACAGGTTGGTGGACCAAATATACCCCCGGGTCCATAACGGGGGTTGAGGAGCTCTTATCGTTACCCAGCACCCACCACGACGAGGTGGCTCTTCACGGGTGCCTTTAAGATTAGAATATCTGACAAAACGTCTGTCGATTTTCAGGACAATCAATAGTGCGTGGAACTAATTAGCTGGAACTGATAACATCATTACTAATGCATGTTCGCAAAGTAAACAAATACCCATTGATTGTGTGATGCATTGCTCCGTCCGTGTCAACATGACCGAAGAAGTCAAGTTATACTTGATAATTACTTTGTGTTATAAACCCAAAACAGTTACAGTTAATTATTTCTTGTGGTCAGGCACATACGTTTCTCAGAGGCAATTATTTTGCAACTGATACGTGTTCTGAAATTTGGTTATTTGTTGTAAGGAGGCGCTAGATAAGAGTAGCAGTGCATTTTTGTCAGAGTCTAAAACTCAGGCCCCAGAATATCATTGATCGGTACGTAATAACACACATTACAGTGTCATCTTTAATGTTCAGTTGATGTTATAAATATAACAACTATAATGCAATTAGATACTGTTATTCATCTTTTTCGATGGAATATCAGAACCGCGTTGGTGTAAAATGAGTTCAAATTACACAGGCATTATTTTACGGAACAATGTTCAACTTTTGACATTTCAGAAAGCCTTGCAGTAACACACATCAGCAGAACTCTGGTCATCATAGATTTCTCATGTATCATGTTCGTGTCAAATTCAATCACATGGTCAATGGCAAGTTTCTGGCATGCCGTTATTTGGTTTATTGGATGGCGTATAAGGCAATACAGAGTTTCACACATGTTTTCCAGAATGGTGTTGGTCCTCTGCAAAATTCCCAGGGTATGGTCATTTTCAAGCCAATGAACTTCGCAGTCAGGTCCTAGTTGCTATTACTATGCTTCATAGTTACAATCACATTCAGACCCCGGGACAATAGTTCAGATTTCCAAATCAATTCATCTCCATGTTTTTATGTTGCTGAGACTGAAAGACGAACACCACAATCCCAAGAAAACCTAAACTTTGACACACAGGGATGGCTCCGATTTCGACAAAGTTTGAGATTGTATTCCTTTTATTCAACACGGCATTTGGTGTCAGGGAGCTTGATGGAATGTACAGTCTCGCAGAACCGTATTACGGCATGGCGTATCTGCAGCTTGTTGACGAAATGCAGAGCTCCAGTGTTATACGTTGTGCATCGGAGAGTCTTCGTCAGGATCTCGCGGCCTTTGGCTACCGAAGACTGGACAAAGTGTGCCAACTATACACAGTTGACCATAGGAAGATCTTTTCTTGGCAGACTACCCCTGGCATGACGATCTACCTGAGAGAGCACGGTGGGTTTAACCTGTGGAAGATACGCGGTTAAGGTCATGCAGGTCCCAGATCTTTATCACTCTCGTGAAATTCGAAAACGAAAATAAATCAGGGCGGATGCGAATTCGAATGGGGTCATGGTGTCCTCATGCTGAAATACGGCGCCTCAGAGTAATGATTTATAGTCACATCGGCAATATCTCAGCCATATCGAGACGAGAACAATTTATAAATTATAGATAAATACATTATGAAGATTAAATAGTGTCTGGGAGGGACAGTAAAATTACTAGGGTATCACAGATAGTTCGGCAAAACTAGCATGTTATTATAGAAAGATATCATTAAAGAAAACAATGCACTATAAAGACGGACTATAGATCGCCAGCAACAGGTGTGACAATGAATTTGAACACTAAGTTAACATATAAAATTCCACAGTGGATATCGGATTGGTGAGATAAAGCTATTTTCCCGGGGGTATCGTTGCAATGAAATAGCACTACGCTGCTTTTCATATGGTTGTGATGCAATCGGCTACAATGAAAATGTGTGTACATGGATTGGTTCTCTCAGTGCACGTGATCCCATAGATAGGAGGGAGATGTGTGTGTGTGCATGCGTGCGTGTGTGTGTGTAAAAAGTAGAGATGACAAGTCTTTATGGATGATCAATGTCTTTATTTTGACAATGGCGACGTTTCGGTATAGATTCTTATAAATACCGTTTTCAAGCATAATAGAATCTATTCCGAAACGGCGCCATTGTCAAAATAAAGAAGTTGATCATCCATAAAGTCTTGTCATCTCTAACTTCTAGAATGCCACGCAAACAAATGTGAAATGTATGGTTCTAGAGTAAATACCAGAGTAGGCACGTAATATTACTTTCTCCCTCCATCCCTGACGCTGGTGCATGCTCTGCCTCTGCAGCTGATGACTGTCTACCCTAACCATGCAACTTCTGTATGTTGGTTCTGAATCCGCCTGTCCCCTGGTCTTCTTCCTCGGCGGCATGTGACGACCTATCGTACGGCTTGCTGGAACTCAGCTCTGACTAGATCCGTGATTGTGTGATAGTACATCTCCATCACATCCGTGAGTGTAACACTATACATGCAGCCTCCCATTGAATTGTGTAATAGAGAATAAGTTACGTGGGTTGTGTGGTACAACATCTAAATGAGTTGTGCAATACTAAATATGTTGCATCTATGTGAGTTGTGTGGTACAACATCTAAATGAGTTGTGTAATACTACATATGTAGCATATATGTGAGTTGTGCAATACTAAATATGTAGCCTTTACGTGAGTTGAGTGATATTAAATGTGTAGCTTCTACATGGGACGTGTGATGCTAAATATGTAACGTTTACGTGCGCAGTGTGATGCTAAAATATGTAGGATCTTCATGAGTTGTGTGCTACTAAACATACAGCATTTATATGACTTGTGTGATATCTACCATCTATGTGGGTTGTGCGATTTAGTTGAAAGAATACCCTGTTTAAAATCGAAATTTAATCATAAACACATGAAAACAAATTCTTTGTATTGAGGCGTTTACTCTTTGTACACACATTTCAGTGGTGATATTCTTTGCCATCGTATACAATGGTTACCGTCCGACTGACACTTTCCATGAGTTTTAACTTTCTTAAGTTTAAATCGTCCATAAACTAGTTGGCAATTTTCAAATACAGGAACATATCTTTTTCGGATGTTGTGAAGACTGTCTGTCAATATCCTATCTTGTATTTACGGTGTGTAAACCCGTGAAGGTCCGGGTTAAAGTGACCCATGCTTGTCGTAAGAGGCGACTAACGGGATCGGGTGATCAGGCTCACTGACTTGGTGGACACATGTCATCAGTTCCCAATTGCGCAGGTCGATGCTCATGCTGATGATCACTGGATTGTCTGGTCCAGACTCGATTATTTACAGACCGCCGCCATATAGCTGGAATAATGCTGAGTGCCGCGTTAAACTAAACTCACTCACTCACTCTTTGTTTGTAGTCCCATCCATTAACAGACATTTGTAAGTGTGTGCCGTATGGTGCATGGGTTATATTGAATGGTAAGGTAACGGCGTTACAGAGACGTCCCGTCCTTGTACTGAGATGCGTGGTTTCCAGCAATATCTGTATTCAACGTCGATACTTGCAAATAGCATTCACATCTTAGACCAATGGCTTCAAATTAATGAAACGAATGAAAGATGATAATTCCTGGAGAACCTCATGTCAATGTGATGATTACACACCAACCTCGAGATATTTTGTACATAGCAATCGATTTGTAAATCCTACTACTGTCGGCACTCCCCGGTATAAACATTTACAATGCAGCGGTAAGATCTTGCATGGGGCTAAAGGTTCAACACGGCAAAGAGACAAATTTCAACTTAACCTGAAGACCTGTCGCACAATATAAATATGGTTAAATTTTCAGTATTAAGGCGGCAGTTAGCAGCAGACAATTTGTAAATAGAGACATGGAAAGTTTCGGTATTAACCGGATAAAACAAACACATGTTTAACTGTTATTATTTTGATTCAGGTGAGATCAAAATACCTTTCAAAACATGAGACAGACATGAACAAGTGCAACTACATATGTTCTGAAAGCGTTGCCAGACTTAAGTGACCAGAGTTTTTTATTTGTCAAATGGTAACATCTTGACACAAATAATGAAGTAATGATAACAAGCATTGTCACTAAGGTGACATAATCCCCCGCCGCAAATTATCAAATCAAATTGATAAAGTAATGAAAGTTTAAGTTAAATGTTAACAAAAACATGACCAGTCAACATCTCTTGATATCTTGCTCTTTAGGTGTTCAAACACACACATATTTTCAAGACCTCAGGTTAACATGCTGAAATCTTCAGAGTGTCGCTGTGGCCTTGAAAATTAAGTGAAGGTCACCAAAGTCGACTGGGCCCTGCGCCTTCCCTGGATGAAGCTTGGTGTCAAATATGCAGAACGGTTCTTGAGATAGCTTAACATGCAGGTAAAACGTGAAAGTCCCCTTGTGACCTTGAAATGAAGGTCAAGGTCACCAAACCTGACTTGAACCTTTCTTGTACTGTGATGAACCTAGAGGAATCTAGAGAACGGTTCTTAAGATATTCCAATTCGTACAGACGGACGGACGGAGCCTAATACTATATCCGCCGCTTCGCGCTAAAAGCGCGGTGGGGGATAATAATAAAGGGTAGTAGCTAGGGAAATTAGAACAAGGATTAGCGTGCTTGCACTTTTACTTGAGAGCATGTGAAGTCACCATTGTTCAACTTATAAATTCTGTAAGTGGATCCATGTCCATGAATGCAGCCGTCATCTGATTTAACAAGAGTCAGCACCAAGTGGTTGTGCTTGGCAGAGATAGCGTTCGTCTTTTTTGCAAGCGTAGTCGACGAAGAAGGCCCCAGTTGCAGCCCTCACGTAGAGGCTGAGGCAGTCCTCATTCCCACCGAGGTCATTGGGATCTCCCGTTAGCCACGGACTTATCGGGGTACCATCATTCCATCTCCAGGTGCCTTCCTCCTCAATGTCAGTAGAGCCAACCCAGAAGAATCCCTCTGGCGAGGTGCCTGAAATAGTGAGTGAGTGAATGAGTTAACATTTAAAGTCACATCGGCAGTATTTCAGTCATATCGTGAAAGTTGTAAATTTATAAATGAATAAAAACAAACTTTTTTAATATACTTACCTATTTCCAGTGAAATAACTAGTCTATCATAGATTTACAATCAAAACTAGCATATAATCATAAAACACTATTTCTATCTGCAACAATACAAAATAAGAATGGGCTATAGGTTGCCAACAACTGAAGGTACATCACCATTCTAGGGACCATTGGGGCGTACAGTACTTTTGCTACCTGCATGGACCCTAGTTGGATTTACATCATTCCTTCAGCTGTTGGCAATTTACACAAATTCAGCCATTAGTTTAAACGAACATATATACGACGATTAAAAATATGGCCTGATTAAATATACTTTGACAGACTTGGTCTTATACCTTCTCGGGGGACAGTAATTTTACAATACTTTAACCCCCTTTGAGTATACAGCCACTAACAATCTCAGTTACTAATTTAATCTACCAATTTTAAAATGTCATTGATCTATTTACAGAACTGTTATTCAATTTTTTGTAACAATTCTATTTCTTTTAAAAAAATAATTAAATGATAATTACTACAATCAAAAACATCTTTAGTTGTTTTGACACTGAAATATTTATCCCCTGTGATGGAAAATTCAATACAGTCAAGTTTGACCGTGATTCCTTCGTCACAAGGGATGCAAAACGGAGGATTTTCACCTTTAAGCAAATATTCATGAGTATGGCCAGTGCGACATCGTCGCATTATGACCTCTTCAAAGCTGGACTGACAGCCCAAGTAGGTTCAACCGATAGTTGGCTTTATTTGATGTAATTTATTGATCCCTACTTGGGTGCCCCACTTCTTTTGCATTAGATCACGGTTGTAATATCTAATAACAGCTTTGTGATCACTGTATGGTATCAGAAGTTGTGTCACAGATTTATTGAGTGCTGCTTTAGTAGCAGCGTCAGCCATTGTGTTTCCAGTAATTCCGAGATGGTTGGGTAACCAACAGAAGACGATGTAGCAGGATCATTAAATAATTCAAGAATTTCGATTAAAAGTGGATGTTTGTTTGATTGATTTTTAATTGCCTGAAGACAAGAAAGAGAGTCTGAATAGATGATAAATTATTTGTTTTGCTTGCTTACTAATGTACTCTGGAGTTGTTAATATGGCCTTTGATTCAACTGTAAAAATGGAAGAATTATTCGACAGTCTTGATGATATACTCCTGGCTCTAATGGCGGTTGCACTGGCAACTATATCACCGTCTTTGGATCCATCAGTAAAGATAGATTTGTACGTAGATTATACCTCATGTTGATAAATAAGTTGGGATTTGTGTCTGGGATTTCTTTTAGCTTAGTTAAAGTCCGATCCACCTCTGGCTGTACTACCTGCCAAGGTGGATAGGAAAAGGTTCTGGTGGACACTATATTTTCAAGGTGGGATGTTACACTCTGTCTGGGAGGCTGAATACAATGTATTTGACGGAGATTGAGAGATCTGAGTATGAACTTCTCTAATGAATTTTCATGAGCCCAAGATAGTTTGACATGCTGTTGAAGTCAGGGAACGTCTGGAGGCAATGGTACAAGAGGATTCTGCACCTGAGTACAATATGGTTGAATTAGTTAGGGAACAAACCTTTTCAGTATAGGAAATATTATTGTTCATGTGTTTGATATTTTGAATTCTCTTTTTGAAGGGGCAGGATTTGGATGAGTCCAAGCAATATCACAGCGGGGGACACCAGAAATGGGCTTCACACATTGTGCCAAGATGGGGATCTTCGGCGTGACGAGCGAACGCTTTAACCACTGGACTACCCCACCGACCCTACTATCTATATAGTTCCTGAAGAAACTTCCATATGGCAACATAGTCGTATTATCATTTCTTTTCTACATTCGACCCAAGGAACATGTTAACGCTGAACGTTTATAGACCCGAAAAGTCATGTCATGTATTTATCATTAATTTGTGTCTTTCGTAAAGTTGTAGTTATTGGCATGTCAGCGGGGTTCGGCACAAGTTCGTACCAGTACCAGCAGCTTGGAAATTGGTGAAATATACATAATGGTGAACGCGATGCTTAACCACCTTTTACCTCACACCACCATCTCTTAGGTTAGGCCTCCAAAAACTCAAAAAGACTAGGTTTATTTCATATCTTTCAAAACGCCCTGACAAACATAATATTTGTGAAATTACGTATGTTACACCTTTTCGTTACATATTATACATTTGACGGCATACAATGAATTGGGTATCAAAGGCGAAGCTGTCTGTGAGACATATTATGTTTATATTCTGCAATATCAATTTACAGCCTAATTACATTCATGAAAATGGTTCATTGATCACCGTTGTCACAAGAACCAAAACGTGTTTGGGAAATGTCTCGTAATTACGGTCGTGCCTGAATTTCCAAGCTTGCCTCAATTTTTATGAAGATTAATAAACTATTGTTGACATTGCAGCTATGGTTCAATTAATGATGAAAATATGTATTAAGTTATAGTTCAGTCAGTCTAGCCAAATGTTATAGAGGCAAAACTGTTTTAGAATTAGTCACGATCATGATTTATTTTGGAACATCTCAAAATGAACATGATTTATGATAGGTCATTCAATTTCCAACAATCCCACAGTTACGATTTTGAAACAATGTCTCAATCATGAATATGATTTGTACACCATTATTATACTTTGTTTTTCAAATATGCCGCGATTAATCTGATGCTATAATTTTAAATACCTATACCTACCATCATTGAACATGCGCCTTACTATTTCGTGAAATACTGTGATAGGCGTCATCTGAGCCAGCACTGCTCCATCACTGAGACATGCGTCTGAGGCTTCGGTGAAATTACTAGTTTCGCTGGACAATTTCAGACAGGTTCCATCGATGAAAATGTAGTCAGGTGGGCACCTCACTTGAATAGAATAACAAACGAAAATAGACCAAAATGAAATTTCAGAAAGACAATTTAATTGTTTCACTTTGCCGATATAATCGTTTACAATGAGTGAGTGAAATTACCTAAGTTACCTATGTTAATGCCAGAGAATAATCAGTTTCGATAATCTGCAAATTCTGAATCCATTAGGCATGAAACAGAAACGGCGAATTAAGAACCACATCTATTAAAAGAGAAATGATAGATCAGTAGGTAAAATATATATCTATGAGTATATGAGTGAGTGTAGTTTACGCCACTTTTAGCATTATTCCAGCAACATCACGGCGGAGTACACCAGAAATGGGTTTCACACATTGTACCCATGTGAGGAATGGAACCCGGGTGTTCGGCGTGACGAGTGAACGCGTTTACCACAAGGCTACCCAACCGTCCCAATGAGCATGTACTCACCGATCATTGTATATGATTGCATCCCCTCATCATCGAGAGACTCGGTCTCGACTTCTGGACCGACGATATCAGACATCATGTGACAAAGTTCAGCCGACTCAGTGAAGGAAACGGAACGACACTCAGGCTCCCCAGCACATGTTTTAGCACACTGAATGAGGCTCGTAGAGGACAGTGTTTTGTACGAGGCTATGGCGTTGCGTTTGATAGAGTCCTGTTGAAACTTTGAGACTTTACAGTTCACCAAATAAACGAAATCCCATTGGGCAAGGAACATGGACGCTATGAGAAGGACCTCCATCTGTGTCGTATTACCATATATCTGAGAAAGCTGCACAACTGGCTACTGATTGACCCGTGGACCGTCTTAGTTGAGCAAATTTAGAGAATATCTGACATGGCTGCCGATAACAGCACAATGGATTGATTACCTAACATCGTATTATTGGTATCAAGTGCTTAATAAATAATGGACAGTCTGAGATTTGTTCATCCGACACAATATCAATATGTAGTAATTATTTTGGTGATGGAAATTCTGCCTACTGTATATCACGGTACAATGGCATCAATATCAATCAGAAGAAAATAAACAGAAAAGTCGAAAGTTAATTCATTGAAGTATCTGTCATGACTGTATAATGTCATGCTGTTCGTGAAAATATATTATGACCGTAGACATTTCTGTTGAAGGAGGATCAAGCTACTCAAACATTGATCGAATGGTAAGTCCAAAATGTGTGTCCATTATTACGATGCAGTCCGCAAAGACACACTCTGCCAATAGTTCAGGGCTTTTCTATCACACCATTATTGTCACTGCTTTACAATGTTGCAGTTTCTATATCTCCCGTAAGTCACGCGACGCGCTACTTCCGATACCAGATTTCCGGTGACATCAGTCAATTTTGAAAAGCTTCCAGACAGTGAATATTGAATCAGGGGTATGTTGCAAATATCACACAATGTGTTGCTAATGGAGGATACGTGTGAATGTTTCTTCTAAATGTCTGAGGAATAATACTTGTATATGATTGTTCATGAATTTGTTTTGGATAATGACCAAATGTATTAGTATCAGCAAACGTGGTTGATAAATTAGCCGAGGATATGAAGTATCATTAATCCTAGTGAGTGAGTTAAAATTTATAGTCACATCGGCAACATTTCAGCCATATTGTGACTTAAAAATTTATAAATTAACAATAAACACATTACAAAACACCTGTCGACGAAGCACAGTAAAACAACTAGATTATCACAGGAACAAATTTAAGACTAGTAATTAAATCAAAAATATTTAACCTATAAATGACAATACAATATATAAACCGGCTATAGATTGCCAACAATGGAAGGTAGATCACCATACTAGGGACCATGGGGACTTACAGTACTCATTGATCCTATGTAGAATGTGTTTCAATAATAGTATGTCCTTTTTTTCATAAAAACACATTCATGAGCGCCCAACACAACATCTCATATTCGTTAATAGACGAATGTCCGTTGATAGTGTTTGACGGCGCACAAGGTTGTCCCCACGCATGGGCAACGAAACCAACAATGTCACGTTATTGAAGACAAACATTTCGTGTCAAAAGAGTAAGATGATTCCTGTATGATGTGCGGTCGATAATAGATGAGAGACAGAATGCGATCATTTCCTACGACTGAAACCTGTTCAGATATTGTGTAGGAACCAACACACATCATAGCTTTGTAAATGTCTTGCTGTTCACAAACATTTAGATATTAGATATGGATATTTCTGTATTGTGATAGAACATCAGAACCCGCCTCAATATACAAATACAATAATATGTAATCTAATAGAAATACATTTACCTATACAGCATCTACGTGAGTTGTGTGAAATTTAATACACAACATCTACATGACTTTTGTGATAATAAATGTACAGCATCTATGTGAGAAGTTAGATACTGAAGATGCAACATTCACGTGAGTTGTATGATGCTAAACATACAGCAGGTAACAAAGGTACTGTAAGTCCCCATGGTCCCTAGTATGGTGATCTACCTTCAGTTGTTGGCGATCTATAGCCTGGTTTTAGATTGTATTGTCCAAATAGTGCTATCAGTTTTAACTTTCCACACTAGTTTTAGCTGTAATTGCGATATTCTAGTTGTTTTACTGTCCTTCGTCGACAGGTTTTTATAATATACATATATTCCATTTCAATGTCAAATATATTCTCGTCACGATATGGCTGAAATATTGCCGATGTGACGTTAAATATTAACTCACTCACTCACATTTTTACTAAACATACAGCATCTACGTGACTTAATGTAAATTCTGTATATCTAGTATTACGTAACTGTGAGATACATGTAGTAGATATGTAGCATCCACATGAGATGTGTGATCATAAAGTAGTTATGTCATTTGTGTTACCCTGTGATAGTGCTTGTGCAACATCTGCCTGATTTTAATTAGTTTACACAAAACCATTCGCTTATGAACGCTTTCTCCGACATCGAATAATGAGTCAATGATGCCATATATTATTCACTCGGGGTGATCAATGTTGAAGTCCTAGTTGGAAAACAGTTACTGAGTGATTCAATGATGTCACGGGTCAGGATCAGTCCACTGGAAGTGGATCACGGGACGGTACACAAGAGACGTGTTTGTTGTTGAGACTGCGAGCAAACTACTCGGTGTATTATGTTGTCTGCTCAGAGAAACACTCTGCTCTATGTCTTTCCTTGCCCGATTACTATGCCACTATTATATGCAGGTTAATAAAGATGTCCACACTACATAAAACCAGTACTAGAGATTAAAATTAGTCTAAATTGGAGCTTTGTGACTACCCATGCATGACTCCTTTTTTATTTGTATGTCAAATAGGGATGGTGGGGTAGTCTAATGGTTAAAGCGTCAGCTCGTCACGTTGATGAATCGGGTTCCATTGCCCACATGCGAACAATGTGTGAAGCCAGTTTCTGGTGTCCCCCTCCCTGATATTACTAGAATATTGATAAAAGCAGCGTAAAACCATACTCACTCACTCAGTGTATGTCGAATGGTTCTCCAGCATGTACCTCATTATAGCAAAGCTTCATTCGACATGAAACCACCTCATTTGTGTCGGGGCGGTGGGGTAGCCTAGTGGTTAAAGCGTTGGCTCGTCACGCCGAAGACCCGGGTTCGAATCCCCACATGGGTGCAATGTGTGAAGCCCATTTCTGGTGTCCCCCGCCGTGATGTTGCTGGAATATTGCTAAAAGCGGCGTAAAACCAAACTCAGTCAATCAGTCATCTGTGTTATATACTGATAGAAACAAATAAAGGATCCCAGGAAATTTCAAGCATTCCTTGAATTCAAAGCTGGTGATGAAAACTGGAAAATATTAAAGGAATGCTTGAATTTTCCTGTGATCCTTTATTTGTTTCTCTCAATATATTTAGATTTGTTCATGAAGATGAGAGACTGAAGGCTCTTTACATTCTGTATGCCATTTCTGGTGTTCCGTGATATTGCTGGAACATTGCTAAATGTTGCGTAAAACTACAGTCACTCATTCACTCACATTCTGTGAGAAAAAAGATAATGCTACGTGTCAAATAGTCAACCCTCCTTTAATGTTGACAAATATTACAACAGCTCCAGCCTTGGGTGATTACAACGTTTAATATATAATAAAGCACGAAATGATATTTCCTGGAGTTCTTCAAATCAATCAATATATTTTGTTACTTTGTAAATCCTACTACTGGTCTACACTCCAGAATATAAACATTGGCGCGGTAACATCTGGGATGGGGCCAAAGATTCAACACCGTAAAGAGACAAATTTCACCTCAACCTGCAGAAATGTCACTTAACTATGAATATGGTAACGTTTTCAGATGTAAGGATGCAGTTGGCACCAGTCACTTTGCAAATAGAGACATGACAAAGTTTCGGTATTAACCAAGTAAAACAAACACTTTGGTGGCTTTAACTGTTTATACTTTGACTCAGGTGAGCTCAAAATACATTACACAAGAAGAGAGAGCCATGCATGTGTGCAACAACATTTGATCTGAAATTGTTGGCAAACCTCAGTGGTCAGAATGTACATTTGTCAAATTGTAACATCTTGACACCAATCAGGACAAGGTGAGTGTAGCTACGGAAATAAACCGAATGAGACGAAGGATTCCCAGTTCTTGCACAATTACTGAGACCAAGTGAAGTCATTATTGTTCAACTTAAAATATCTGTCAGTGGATCCATGTCCATGAATACAGCCGTCATCTGATTTAGCAAGCGTTAGAACCAAGTGGCTGTGTTTGGCAGAGATAGCGTCCGTCGTTTCTGCAAACGTAGTCGACGAAAAAGGCCCCAGTTGCGGCCCACAAGTAGAGGCTGAGGCAGTCCTCATCCCCACCGAGGTCATTGGGATCTCCCGTTAGCCACGGACTTATCGGGGTACCATCATTCCATTTCCAGGTGCCTTCCTCCTCAATGTCAGTAGAGCCAACCCAGAAGAATCCTTCTGGTGAGGTGCCTGGAATAATGATATGCACACCAACAGGCACAGATTTACTAAACAATCATATCATGCTTGTCATGTAATCTTACCAAAACTAACTATTACCTAAGTGAGTGAGTTAATTTAACATCGCAGTATTCCAGCAATATCAAGGGGGGGAAGGGGGACACCAGAAATTGACTTCACATATTGTACCCATGTGGGGAATCGAACGTCTATGGCGTGACGAGCGAATGCTTTAACCACTGGGCTACCCTACTATTACCTATTGTATCTGAAGAAACCTTTTCTCTCTATATGGCAACATAATCGTAATACTATTATCATTTCTTTTCTATGTTCAACCCAAGGTATATGTTACCGCTGAACGTTAATAGACCCGAAAACTCATATATTTAAAATTATTAAGTTGTTGCAGTCTTTCGTACAGTTGTTGTTATTGGCATTATTGGTAACACAATCACACCGGCATAGGTTCGTACCAGTACCAGCAGCTTGGAGTGAGTGCGTTAAAAGTTAACGTCACATTGACAATATTTCAGCCATATGGGACGACAAAGAGTCATGTACTGAGGGTAAATATATTTATATTTTTTAAGCGAAGGACAGTATAACAACTAGATGAAGACGAAGAAGAAGGGTTTATTTTGTATAAAGGCCATACGACCCATCGTACCAGGTGGTACAATAGTGATTTTGGCTATCATCTTCATACAACAACGCTAAGAGGAGCAGAATAAACATGTTCTAAGAACTTGACAAAATTATT